TTAGGGGTACCTTATTTTGGGGCCCGGAAACACAAGCAACTTCCAATTCAAGCAGCCCAGATCCCTTGCCTGGAAGCTTTGCACACCGACCTGTAAGCTCCAACACAAGTAGACATATTGATAAGTAGGTGGGTTTAGCGCTTAGGATTCAGGGACAGGTAGATAGATAGATAGATAGATAGATAAATAGATAGATAGATAGATAGATAGATAGGTAGAAAAATCGACAAATGGTATAGGCAGGTAAAGACTTCGAGAGTTAGGTTAGAGACTACCCTCAACCCTAAACCCTAAGACGTTGACCCAAAACCCTAAACCCTAAACCCTAAGCCCTAAACCCTCAACCCTCAACCCTAAACCTTAAACCCTAAACCCTAAGACGTTGCAGCACAAGCGGCTCGAAGTCGTCAATCTTCCAGACTCGGACCTTAAAGTGTAGGGAGTAGGCTTTTGAGGTTTTGGGATGGAGATTTTGGGTTCCATGTTGGTTGAGTCAGAGTGCGAAGATCGCGCCTATGGATACAAGAACGGCTGGGCTGTGACGTGGGTGTAGGGTTTGGGGATTTCGGGTTTAGGATTTTGGAATTTAGGGTTTAGGGCTTTGGGATTTAAAACCCTAAACCCTAAACCCTAAACCCTAAACCCATTTAAGGTTTTGGGTGTGGGGTTTGGGGTTTTGGGATTTGGGATTGTGGGTATAGGGGCCAGGGTCTCGGGCTCGGTTCGGGTGTTCGGCTACTGTGGGCATTAGGGTTTAGGGTTGAGGGTTTAGGGTTTAGGGTTTCCGCAGTCCCAGAAGTTCTGCTGTTCCTGAGCTCGCCGGTCGAGGTCTCGCCTGAAAACCTCCTTAGACCCACAGCATCCCACAACAAAACAGGCTGGTTCCAACAAAAACCTTTGGGTTTATGTATAATGGCATAGGCCAAAGATGGATTTTGGGGTGCAACAACGGACAAGCCCTAAACCCTAAACCCTAAACGGTGCCATGATGCTTAATCACCAACACTGCGACTCCCGAAAATGCACTCGAACTTAGACCCTGCTTCAGAGTAGATACGGTTGATGATATAAATCCTGCACTACCCATAACATGAAATAAGGTTTCGGGTTTAGCCAAAACAAGGAATAGACCATAATTCCCATAGCTTTGGGTCCGGTAACTACAAATCATCCACCGTATTTCAACGGCTTTCGACTACAAAACCTAGCCTTAAAGATGCCGTTCTCCCCCGGAAAGAGAAGGCCATGTACTCGAAGTCTGATGTCCCCGAAACCCCTAACCCCCTTTTCAACCCTCACCCCTAAATCCCCTTTAAACCCCCTAAACCCCCTAAACCACCTAAACCCCTTAAGCCCCCGAAGCCCCCTAAGCCCCCTAAACCCTAAACCTTGAGACCCTAAGCCCGAAACCCTAGACATGAACTGCAAAGCAAGACACCTTCTCAGGGTTTAGGGCTTGGGGCTTTTAGAGCTCAGGGTTTAGGGCTTTTGCGGTTCAGGGTTAGGGTTTAGGGTTTAGGGCTTTTGGGGTTTAGCACATAATATAACGGAATATACAGCATAAGGCCATATATGATATAACATGAGATGACACAATACATTAGAACAGAGTATGAGATATGCTTGGTTCACTGCTCTGTGACTTATGTTTACAGAGTATGAAATAGTCGAACATCGTATGATATACTGGAACAGACTAGAATTTCACTAGGGCTTGATATAGGGGCCTTAATAATTAGAATAGGGCTTCGGGGTATGTTATACTACAGTTATAATAAGGGATACCCAAATAATAGAGGTAATTATTGAGGCCTCTATATT